TTCCCCCAAAGAATATCTCATCATGTTGTTCATCTGAGAGCCTCTGGAGAAATGCCGCGATACCTCGCCCGTTCAACCTCCGACGACCACGCTTGCCTTTACCCTTTCCTTTAAAACTTCTGCGTATCCTCCTTCTAACACGACGCACTGGTTTTCGTGTGAACCTCCTCCACCTTCGTTTAGCCTGTTGTAACAGCCAGAATAAATGCTCAGCACGCTGATTGTCGTTATCCATATTCATGATATCTGACCAATCTAGAGCTTCAACACCATCTGATGATATAGTGTCTGTATCGGTGCCGGAGTCGAAGTCTTCGTCTCCTAAATAGGTGGATACACCGTCGGTTAGGGGATTTGATTCCCCCCATAACGAGCGGTGTGGTTGTGGTTCTCTAGAAGGAGGGCTGGTTGCCCAGCTTGGTTGTGATCGATCCCCTGCTAATAAAGCAGTGGATTCTCCTGGGTCATCGGCCCATATGCTTGAGGGCCCGTTTCCAGGCTGGGCTTCAGTGGTCAAGGTAGTGTAGAAATTTCCACTACCAGATCCCCTTCCCCTTCCAAACACAGATCCTATGTTGCCAGGAGACCGTTCGGATAGGTGGCCTATCGAACGCATCCTCTCCAGCAACTCATCATACTGTTGTTGTGTTCGAGGCATTTGGTGGTTGAGTGGCTGTAAGAGTTGCATGGCTTTCTGGTTGCCGACGCCTAAGGCGCGGAATAGGATAGTGGTTAGCAGTTGGAAGTTAGGAAGGTCGAATCCCACCGACTGTGCCTCAAGTCGGGCCATTTCGAATCGGGTAAGAGTGACATCGATTCGTTCCCCGTGAGGCACATGGAAGTCGATGAGTTGTGTGCCGGAAGTGAGCTGTCGCTCATCTTCCAGGCGTTCGAACTTCATGCTGAGGAGGAACATGATGTAAGTTACTGGGTCTGTGTGGACCCCATCAATGTCAGCACCATAGTTTATAATGTCAGGCGGTACCCTCATGGCGAGTGTCCTCGCTAGGCCACCTAGGCCGCGTTGTATTGCGGCCGCTTGGGCCTGTGGCGTCATACGTCCGCTTGTAACGTTGAGCCATGCGTTGACCTCGTAGATGTACTCACGAAAAGGTACATTACCTTGAGGGTCCCAATATGGGCCATGTGTTTGCCCATCGGTGCTGTTTTCTCCACGACGCATGTGTCCGATTGCTGCCCCCAGCGCGAACCATATGATAGCGAAAACGATGCCCGAGAATGTGTAACGAAGGACGGTTATGATGCGCGTTGTCGCGCTGGGGTAGCGCCTTGTCGAGTCTTCGAGGCGCTCTGTCTGGCGGGTCTCCCCGCCCTTGCTTCAAGTATTGCGCTGTTAGCTCGTTGCCGAGCGGTTGGTATAACGCAATGATGAAGCGTATATGGTACCACGATCGTAAGAGAATGTTCTAGACGCTCGCGTAAAGGCGCTAAGTATTGCGCTGTTAGCTCGTTGCCGAGCGGTTGGTGGTAACGCAGAAGCGTGGTAGGTCGTCTAGTCACGAATAGATCCTCGTAAACGCCTGGGAAGGGTGGTCACGAAGATCGTGCCGAAGAATATGAGGCTAAGAAGAGCAAGAGCTGACCACACGAGAGTGCGGCCAGCTCCGCTACCAAGTCGAAAGTGAGCCTGGTAACTCAAATAGGGCATATAGCCTGGCAAATTGCATCCATCGCTCTGCTGTGAAGGTACAGTATGAGGGGTGGATGGGTAAGATAGGATAAGATCGATGTAATGATCTTTCCAGCACATAGCGAACACTCGCGGTGTCCGGGCAAATAGGGCGCGCGTGCCTTGAGCCCAAGGCAGCGGCGCGCGAGCTATGCTCCCGATGCTGTAACATCTCCCAAAGAGCTACCCTTAAAGTCCACTCTCCCCACTGTTCCCAACATTGTCCCAGTGTCCCCACCATTGTTTCACTGTCCCCAACGCTGTCCCACTGTGCTGTCCCACTGCCCCACTGTCCCCACCACTGTCCCCACTGTCCCCACCGCGCTCCCCACTGTACCACTGTCCCCCTGTCTCACCACAGCCCTCACCACCGCCCTGACCACTGTCCCCACCACCACCGTCCCCACCACTGTCCCACTGTCCCCACTGTCCTGGCCACCGTCCCACTGTCCCCTCACCACCGTCACCGCCACGACCGTCACCACCACTGTCCCACTGTCCCCACTGTCCCCGCCACCGTCCCACTGTCCCCACTGTTTCCACCAGTGCCCAAACCACTGTCGCACAGTCCCCACTATTGTCCCCACCACGGTCCCTCTCCCCCCACTGACCCCACTGTCCCACCACTGTCCCGCTGTCCCCACTCCCCACTACCATCCCCACAATCGTCCCAACCATTGTCCCCACCAGTCCCCCATCCGGAGTGGAGGAGGAGGGGGAGTCGTCTGCCGGCGGCAAGGAGGGGGGGCGGGGGGAGGGGTTCGAACCGGTAGTAATCCTCCCCCTTTTCATGATGGGCAGGGATGGGGTTCGGACCGATAATGATCCCCCTGGTTTTCGAGGGGGAGGGGGGGGGACGGGTTAAAAACCCCCAGAGACCCCCCTGGTTTTCTGCCAGCAGCGGCAGAACACGCTCTAATATGGCCACAAGAACCCAGGACGAGAACATTAATCCCATCGCCGCCCCAGAAAGAAAACCTTCCAAGATGGCTGGCCCAATCGCAAACATAGATAATCACCGAAATGGACTTCCCAGAAGGCTGTAGGTGAGAAAGTCGCTGGGAAGGGACGGGCCGCCTCATCCCAAGAATAGCTTGCGTCGCTTGGGTGCTGGCAAGGCGAGAAGCCGGTGAGCGCAACTGCGCGGTGTTGGGAGCGAGGCGTGCTAGAGGGCGGGGGGGCGTCGGTTGGCGACCACGGCCCTCCAGACCGTCGGGGAATCAAGTGCGGCATGTCACGACCTTGTCTCCGCTGCTGGAGCGGCAAAATCAAATGAAAGTCCCTCTGGGAATGAGGCAAGCGCCTGTCATGTGTCATGTAACGTGGACTTCTGGGTCCTTACAATGCGGCGATGGAAAATTCCGATCTTCCCGTGGAACACAACCTTGCTGCACATTGTCCTTTGGGCTCCCTGACCTCCCAGGGATAGATGGGCAGCTTGCTCTAGTTCAACAGGACGCGCTTTTGACGCGCGCTCCTGCTTGCAGAGAGGGCTTGCGGCGCAGCGCAGCAAAGCACTCCATAGCAACACGAGGCGGGCGCATGGCCGCGGAGGGGGAACTCGAACTATAGTTGAACAACCGAATACTTGCGAATCGAAAACAAAAAACGCCCCAAGATGCTCGAACGGCAGTCGCGCCGGATCTCCCAGCAACATCTTCGCTGGTTGTTCCGCAACATATTGGCCGGATTTCTTAGTGACGTCTGTGCCAAAATGTTTGATAATACTCTTGATACTTGATAGCGCTCCCGTGAAGTTCCCCGTGACATGTCTCATACAAAGAATCGTTGTTGAAAAAACTGCACGGTAAACTCCACTGGAAGCTTCACTGCCGCCGCTGCCCCCCCTGGGCGAGTCGCGCGGCCCCCCTCTCTTTCCCGGTGGTCCCTTGGGCGCTCGGCTCGCGCGGCCGCGAGAGGGCAATACAACAGAGTGGAGAAACAGGTGGAGGGAGCAGGAGGCCCGGAACCTGGCGAAGTCCGACGACGCCCGACGGAACCCGTTGGGGCCCCGCCAGGCACATCGAGATGCGGCACTGCAGTAAGAGCCTAGAACCCCGACGGGGCCACGACAGTAACGCATATTGCGGAATGTGGCGCAGAACAACTACCGAATCGCACGCACTGTCCTCAGGTGGCCTTATCGCGCACCGTGCCCGACCCTATGCGCGTGCGCTTCTGCGATACTTCGTCCGATGGATTTTAATCCTGCCTGCCACCCCTGCGTTCGCGCAGCGCAGCGTCCTGACTGGCCTAAAGCGCCACGAAAGAAATCAGACGGCCAACCTGCTTTTTCAAGTAGGGAGCCCCTAGAAATGACAGTTAACGGTAACCCGTCAAAGCTAGGGATGCTCTTATCAACCGCACCTGCGGTGGGACACCTGGGGTGGCTGGATCCCGCTCGAACGCGAACTCTGGAAATTGATTTTGAGTAGGACCCCCCCAAAAAACAAATCTGGCTGGCAACTTGACTTGCAATTTTGTGATTCCAGAATTCGGCTTTGGGCCAGATGAAGGTAAATCACAAGACAGCTCGCCGCTTGGACCCCACCGCCAGCGGCGAGCATAAATCGGGCGTAGCCCCGAACGCATTCCAATGCCCACACTTCGTCCTGGTACTACTCGTACTCCTCCCCGTCCTCCTCCCCATCGTGATCGTCGTCGTCCTCCTCATCCTCCTCATCCTCCTCATCCTCGTCCTCCTCGTCATCCTCCTCGTCTTTCTCGTCTTCCTCCTGCTCCAGCTCCTCCTCGTCGTCCTCGTCTGACCCCATCCTCGTGGATGCTTTGGCTGCGCGGTGCTCCCCACACATTTTCTCTGGGGTCGGCGGCAGAGGCTATAGGTTGCGTCCTAGGTTGCGCCATAAGTTGCGCCCTCGGCGGCAGAGAATAAAACCATCTCCTATCGGTTGCGCCATAGGTTACGCCCTCGACGGCCAAGAATTAATAAACCGTCTCCTATCGGCTGCGCCATAGGTTGCGTCTTCGACGGCCGAGAATAACACCGCCTCTTATCGGTTGCGCCAAAGATAGCGCCCTCGGAAGCCGAGAATAAAACCACCTCTTATCGGTTGCGCCAAAGATAGCGCCCTCGGCGGCCGAGAATACATCCGCCTCTTATCGGTTGCGCCAAAGATAGCGCCCTCGGCGGCCGAGAATGAAACCGCCTCCTATCGGTTGCGCCAAAGATAGCGCCCTCGGCGGCCGAGAATACAACCGCCTCTTATCGGTTGCGCCAAAGATAGCGCCCTCGGCGGCCGAGAATGAAACCGTCTCCGAACGTGCCTGCTGGACACACGGCAATTTCTGCCTTCAGGACCCGTAAGCGAGGCGCTGCCTCGGAGACTCAGAGCGAGAAGCCGGCCTCGAGCAAGGGTTCGAAAGCCTTCTCGAGTACTTCTGAAGTGGTCACCCTGACTTCTCAAGTATCAGTGTGCCCGCTGTTAGAGCAAGACTGGCCTGGAAAGGCTCAAAGATACCCCCCCTCCACGGAATTCAAAGAAGCACCGAAGAATCGCCAAGGAAGCGCCCAAGAAGTGCACGAAAACATGGTCGCCCCTAGTATCTTTGGCGGCGGGGGTCAGCGGCCCCAGAAATGCTTATGACATTCTGGAGGCTTTAAATGGGTCTTTGCGCAATCCATGGCTCCTCACATGGTTGTTGTCCACCCCGCAGAACCAATTGCTGTCCGGACTCTTTGCGACGGTCCACTTGCTGTGGTCGTAGCGAGTCTCGTGCGTGTCGCCAGCGCCTAGTGCAACCTTCCTGAGGAAGCTGGAGAAAAACGAGTGCGAATCTGAAAGGTCAATCCCCCCGTGTACCCCGCGGCCCGACCGATAGGTACAAAGGACGGCTTCCCTCCTGCTCATCCTACCCCTCTGCTGCTGCTGCTTCTCCTCCCTGTCCCTTTCCTGGCTGCTTCAATGCGAACTCGTTCCTGGCTCCAGGACGGGTCGAAGAAGGCTCGCGGGGGGGATATTTGGAAACGACAGCGATTTGGCGAGATGGACCAGGAGTGCCGAGGGTGAAGACTTACTGAACTCTGCGGGGGGGGGCCTTCCTTCCCACACGAAACTACTACCCAACAATTTCGCGTTATCAGATCCTGATATCGAAGACGTCGAACTGCGAAGCTGGGCAGTATGGGCCCAGAGGGCCCCCACTATTGAGCCAACTCTGGACCAACATCGTCTGCTTCAACTCTGGGGCGATCAACTCTGGCACCATGCCAGAGTCAAAGTTCTCGGTCTTGCCGAACAACTTGACCACGCCCCAGGCGGTTTGCACATCCTAGTGATGGCCAAGAATAACACAAGACCGAAACCTACAGCACTCTGGACCAGCCAGCCTACGCACCTGACCAAGCGAATCAACACCGTCAGCCGCAAGACGCAAACATAAGGTCAATCAAACCAAACGAACTGGACGAAACAACCAACCTGTATGTCAACGATCGAAAAAGCGAAACCGACCCGACCGAGCCATAACCAGAATGTCCTTATGAATGGTGCCCTTCATGTCGATATTCTTCCCTGTCACGATGTCCTCCACATTGGGCAGCGACCCGTCAGTTCTGTGGTCGTAGATCCAGCCGTTGGAGAATCTCATTACTTCTGCGACCTCATTAATCGCCTCAGGCGACATCGTCATGCAGAATGCATGCTGCCCGTACCTCTCCTGGCCGCTGCCATAGAGGTACCCCTTGCTCTGGTAATTCGGGAAATGCGGGATCGAGTGCTGCACCCAGTACCCGTTGGTCGAATTGTAAGCGAAGAAACCCTTGCTGTGCCCATACTCGAGCGAATAATTTCCGTCGGGTGTCTGGTCGTTGTACATGACGTAGTTCACATCACGCCCAGAGTAGACGCCCTCTATCTGACGACCCAGCAGAGAATCTGCATCTGTGACTTTGCCTTCGCCAGGTTTCAAGCTGGACGTGTCTGAAGAGGTCACGTAGACATACTGCGTTCCTCGGCGGCTGATGACCGAAACGGAACAGCACGTGTAGGGATACGGATCGACAAACATCTATGTGGCCAGACCTAGGTCGACCCCAAACCGCTCACGACAAGATGGCCGATACAACACCATCTGGCAGACAAGAACTTCCTGTGAGACCAGAGGCCGCAGAACGCTCTGGGACGAAAACGCGCCTCTGGGGAATGTGGCGACAAATCCGCAACCGACGCATGAAAAAATCAGAGCGGGATGCTTGGCGCTCTCTGTTCACGTTTTCACACCAAGGCTCCCCTTGGGGACCAGCTTCTCATGCATGATAGCTGCTTGTATCGTCCCTGGGTCTGGCACGTGGCTTCCAGAAGCCGAGAAGATGTCTAACAAGAGCTTCCACTGCAGTTTCCCCACCAAGCCAGATGTCTTGGGGGGGGACAGGGGAAGACGGCGGTCATGGCCGCCGCTACGGGGGTGGAGGGGGGAGGAAGAGTTGGAGGATGAATAAGAGGAAGGAGGAAGGTCAAAGGCGGATGAAGAGGCGGCGGATGGGGTCCTCACACGCCGCCTCCTCTCCCGGCTCTTCCCCCCTCCTCCTCCTCCTCCTCCTCCTCCTCCTGCTCCTTCTCCTTCCTCCTTGTTGTTGGTTGAGCGGACGTCAATCCACATAGATTGCCGCGTCGAATCTTCCTCCTCCTCCCCTCCTCCTCATCCTTCCCTTCTCTATCCTCCTCCTCCTTTTCCCCCCTCCCTTTGCCTCCTCCTTTCCTCTTGCTCCTTCCTCCTCGTCCTCCCTCCTCCTCTTCATCTCCCCCCTCTCCCTCCCTGCTCCCCCCCACCTGGGGGGGGAGGAGCAGGGCGGGGCATGTCGACGAAAGGGCGACGCGGCGGCCTCTTTCCGGCGGGTCCCGAGCCGTCGCCCCCGAAGGTGGCGGGGTGCTTCAGCAAGAGCCACCAATCCTGGGGTGATCGACGATCCCCGGAAACGCCGGGCGCGAACCCCGGACCGCGCACGCGCGAGCCCCCGACAGGCCAGCGTGCCCAAAGCCCGAGCAATTCCACGTCATCATTATCATCATCATCATCATCATCATCATCATCATCATCATCATCATCATCAGCATTATCAACATCATCATCACCACCACCACCATCATCATCATCATCATCATCATCATCATCATCACCCTCACCGTCATCGCTATCTGCCATAATCACTATCACCATCAACATCATCACGATCAAAATCATATTCTGCACTATACTTACCATCAAGATCAGTCTAAACACAACCACAACCACCACCACCGCCATCACCATCATCACCACCATCAGGATTACCAAAACCAGCATCACCATCGTCGTCATCATTAACACCATCATCATCATCATCATCATCATCATCATCAACAGTATCATCATCATCATCATCATCATCATCATCATCATCATCATCATCATCATCATCATCATCATCATCATATCATCATCATCAGCATGATGATCATCATCATCATCATCATCAGCACCATGATAACCACCACCATCATCATCAGCATCATCATATTTATCAGCATCTCATCATGAGCATCAGCAGTGCCATCATCATACTCATCACCGTCACCACCACAATCACATTCACAATCACCATCAGCATCAGCATCGTTATCAGCATCATCATCAGCAGCTTTATCATCACCATTCTCATCATCGTCATCGTCAGCATCATCATCATACTCATCATCACCATAATCATCGTCTTAAGCAGTCGAACGATCATCATCATCATCATCATCATCATCATTATCATCATCATCACCATCAACATCAGCGTCATATGCATGTTGATCACCATCATCAAAATCAACGCCATCAGCATCACCCGTACGATCATCAGTATCAGCATCACCAACTCCATCAACATCACCGTAATCGTAATCGTTATCATCATCGTCGACGTCATCAGCATCCGCATCATCACTATCATCATCAGCAGCATTAGTATCAGCACCAATATCGGTATCAAGATAGGGATCATCATCATCAGCACCAACACCGTCCGCAACCGTATTGTTATCATCATCAACGTCATCATTATCATCAACATCGCCTGCATCACCACCATCATCGTCAACATCGTCATCATGACCGTCATCGTCATCGTCATCAACATCATCGTCAGCACCTTTACAAGTGTCCTCATCCTCCCTCTCGTCATCATCATCATCACCATCAACATCATACTCTTCAACAACATCGTAATCCGCAGCATCACCATCGCCGTCATCACCACCAGCATCGTCATCATCGTCATCATGATCCGGACACTCATCATCATCTCGACCACTATCAGCACCATAATCATCGCCTTCACAATCACCATCACCAGCATCGTCACCATCACCAGCATCGTCATCGACAGTGTCATCGTCAGTGCCATCGCCAACATCGTCATCATCATGATCATCACCAGCACCATCATGATTACCATCAGCATCAACATCAACATCATCAACGCCATCATAATCAACAGTGACAGTACCAGTATCGGTGTCAGTATCGGGATCGGGACCACCATCCTCATCATCATCATCCTCATCATCATCCTCATCATCATCATCATCATCATCATCATCATCATCATCATCTTCATCGTCGTCATCATCATCATCGTCATCGTCATCACCATCACCATCACCATCATCACCATCACCATCACCATTATCATCATCATCAGCATCATCATCATCGGAGCTCCACCGAAGGCCCCGATGGGCAAAGCTCGCATGCGGCTCCCCCACCAGTACGTGGCCCATGGTTCCCCCTCCTTCGCCCCACCTGCCAAACGGGACTCACACTTGGGCCCTTTCGCGAAGGTAAGTTGTCCACCCCGTGCGCTACCACGTGGCGAGGGAGGATAAGGATGAGGAGGATGAGGGTATCGGAGGAGGCGATGCTGATGCTGATGATGATGATGATGATGATGATGCTGATGATGACGATGGTGGTGATGGTGATGGTGATAGTGATGGGGATGCTGACGATGACGATGATGATGATGATGATGATGATGATGATGATGCCGCTGATAAGGATGATGATGCTGCTGATGATGATGATGATGTTGTTGACGATGGCGATGAGGACATGAGGAGAGCGGAGGCAGGAGTGGGAGGAGGGGGACGGAGGAGGGAAAAGATGAATGAGTGAGAGGGACGCAGGGCGCTGTCTTCAAAATGAGGACACAACTCCGCAAGATGGATGGGACAAATAGCACTCCACACTCTTATACGCGCTGCGTGGAAGGCCTGGGGGGGCAACACATCACAAGCCTAGTCGACTGGTCACGTGACATCGCAAGCGGGCGAACACAATCCGCATTCTGCTCGACTCGTCATGTGGGAACTCGGGGGGAGGGCCCAAAAACAATAGCCTTCTGCATTTACAGCGCGCGACGGCGACGGCAACGACGACGGCAGAGGCGAGGGCAGAGACGGTGACGACGACGACGACGACCACACGACGGCCAAGACCCGTCGGCACATCTCTCACCCCCCCCCTCAACGTCACCCTCCCTAAATACATCGGGCGCATCCCCGCAGTGTTCTGGGAATTGTTTGTCCAGAAGCTCCCAGAACTTGGCGAGGAATCGAGGGGCGGCTGCTATCTCTTACATTCCTCTCCCTTTGGACGACCCTCCCTTGACAGAAGTCTTCGGCACATCCCCTCTATCCGCCACTGAATAGCCGGGCGCCGCACACACCCCAGCTCGCACGAATGTGATGAAATACATAGAAAAGGGGCCCATAATCGCTGCAGGACCCCCCTCTCCAAAAAAAAAACAAGGTGGCTGGCAGCGACCAGCAAAAGGAAAAACTCACACATTGCACTGCGAGGGACGGAATCCCTCCGCAGTCCCGCGACAGACAACAGCAGACCCCAGAGACAAAGGAGGCGGAGGAACCCCCTTCACATGGCAACGCCTCTGTGGCGAAGCACATTGATTCTACTCGCCGCGTGGCAACGCAGGGGGGGCGCAAACAAGCAGCACTGTACTCGACCCTTCGCTTGCTCACGCCGAGGGGAGAAGCCAGTACCATTATCCGCTACCGTGTCTGCGGCACGTTGAGGCGTGGAAGAATGCCAGGGGCTGTCCGGCAGGGAATCTGCAGTATTCTAAGGGACCGCCCCCCCCCTCCGCGGGATGCGGCCACCCGACTGCATCGCCCCTATTACTGGGGGGGCCCTGGGCGGCCATGGCACCTCACTGGGGCTCTTTAAAACTTCCAGGACGACCCAGGAGCCCCCACGACCGCCCAAGAGGGCCCCGAGTCGCCGAACGATCGCTCGACGACGCCCAAGATGGCCTCAAGATGGTCCCAGAGGCCTCCAAGACGACCCAAGAGGCCTCCAAGAGGCCCCGCAAGAGGGCCCCAAGATGCAAGCATCATTGACTTTCCTTATGTGTGTTGAAGGAGTTTGGCGTTCTCGCCTTCTCGGCGTCCCGACGCTCCAAAACGGCCCAGGAGGCCCCCAAGACCACCCCAAACGGCCCAAGAGGCCTCTAAGAGGGCCCCAAAGCGGCCCAAGATGGCCTCAAGATGGCCAGGAGAACGCGTTTCACGGGAGATTGCCTTGGGAACATTCGGCGGCGCGTTTCGAACCGGAGGGTGGGCCCCCCCTCCCCAACACTCGGCGCCATCGATCAAAACCAGGGAGACTCCCCTCCTCCCAAACCCCCCCCCCTCCCCCCGACCCCCCCCCCCTCTCCCAAGGGGGGGGGGTTCAACCCCCCCCCCCCTCGGGGCCAGCGCCAGCTCCCCCCCAGCGCCGGCGCCGGCGCTGGGGGCGGCCAGCAGCGCCGGCGACGGCGGGGACGCAGCGACGATTACCACCACTACCATCATCACCAGCACTACCACCACCACCACCACCACTGCCTCAACCCACCACCACCACCACCACCAACCCACCACACAACCACCACCACCACCACCAAAACCACAGCCACCACCACCACCACAACCACCACCACAGCCACCACAAGTCACCATCACAACCACCAGCACCACCACCACAAAAACCCACCACTACTACCACCACCACCACCACCACAATCTACCACAGCCACCACCACCACCGCAACAACCACCAGCACTACCAGCAGCACAACTCACCGCCACCACCACAAACCACCACACCACCACCACGACCACCGCCACCACCAGAACCACCAACACCACCCCCACAAACCACCGCCACCACCACAACCCACCACCACCACCACCACCACCACCACCACCACCACCACACCACCACCACCACCCACCACCACCACCACCCACCACACCACCACCACCCCACCACCACCCACCACCACCACCCACCACCACCACCACCACCACCACCACCACCACCACCACCACCACCACCACCACCACCACCACCACCACCACCACCACCACCACCACCACCACCACCACCACCACCACCCACCACCACCCACCACCACACCCACCACCACCACCACCACCACCACCACCACCATAACCACAACCCACCACCACCACCACCGTCCTCGTCGACGCTCCCCGCCGCCGCCGCCCGCCGCCGCAGGCGCCGGTGCTGGCCCAGAAAAAAAACTCGTCGTCCCCGCCGCCGCCGCCAGACGCCGCCGACGCAAGCGCCGGCCCGTGGAGAGGGGAAGCGGGGGAGGGAAAGGGGGGGCTCCGGTTCCAAAGCCCCCCCCCCTCCCTCCAAGCGACCACAGAACGCGATCTTTCAGATGGCCCAAGAGGCCTCCAAGACGCCCCAAGAGGCCTCCAAGAGGCCCCAAGAGGGCCCAAGAGGTCCCCAAGAGGCCACACGAGGCCCCCAAGAGGCCCAAAACAGGCCACAAAACCTCCAAGAGGCCTCCGACGAGAGTCGTCTCCCACGAGATCCCAACGAACATCCAGTAGGCTTCATACCGACAACCCAAACACGGTGGCGGGACCTGCCGCAAGCAGCTGAATCTCAGCCCACCGCGAGGCAACGCTCCGCCAGAAACATGCTGCTTCACTCAACTCGCCGCACGTCAATGCAATGCGCGAGAACATGTAGCATTTTGAGTTACCAGTCACTCGGCAAAGCCTGGGGGTGAGGCGAACAGATACTGTTCTGCTCTACTCGCCGCGTGGCTTCGCAGAATCTTATTCGACACCGCTCGTCGCGTGGCAGCGCAAGGGGGGCGAAAACAAATCGTACTTTGCGCTCGACCTGTCAAGGGGCAACGCGCGCAGGGAGACAAAACAACATTCTTCTCTACTCACCACGTGCGCGACAAAAGGGGGTAGGCCCCCTCCTCCCGTCCTATCCCCCTCCTCGCCCATCCGAACCTCCCTCAGCAGGCCTCCCTCGATGCCACCCTCACCCCCACGCCGAACTCTCCCCCCCATGTTCTGCGAAATCCGTCTTGCCAAACACTCCCAGAACATGGCGTGGAATCGGAGATCGGCCCATACCTCTCTCATCCCCTCTACCTTTGGACCTCCCTGGCCCAAAGGTCTCCCCCCCCCACTTTCCGCCAATCCTGTATCGAGTGCCACACAATTCTCAAGTCTCACGACTTGCAAAGGGCCCAATGTGAATACTCATCCGCTGGGAGCGTTTGGCGGTGCGTGCCCCGGGTGTAGGTGCGAGCCCGAATGGACGACGGGCACGATGACAAAGGCGTCGGCTACAGTCAGGGACAACGACGGCGAACAGGCAGACAGGCGGTGAGCAGGCCCCCTCCCGTCTAAGCATTCTTCCTCCTCGTCGTAGCCCCTCCTGCCTCCTCCTCCTCCTCCTCCTCCTCCTCCTGCCTCCTCCTCCTGCCTCCTCCTCCTGCCTCCTCCTCCTCCTCCTGCTCCTCCTCCTCGTCATCGTCGCCCCCTATCCTCCTCATGCTCCTCTGCAGCGTTCCCCTCCTCCTCGTCCTCCTCCGCCTCATCCCACTCTCCTGACTTCCACGGCCAGCGCCCTCCGTGCTCCCTGGGTTCGACGGGCCCCGCGATCCTGGGCTCGTGCGTTCCCTGCTCCCTGGGCTCGCCTTTTTGTCCGCTCTGGGGTTCGCGCCCCTTTGTTTTCCTGTTTCCTGGGGAGGAGGAGGAGGAGGAGGAGGAGGAGGAGGAGGAGGAGGAGGAGGAGGAAGAGTAGCCTGAGCTCGCCTTTTTGTTTCCTGGGTCGTGCTTTTGGCTCCTTGGGCCGAGGTGTCTCCCCAGCCGGGTCCCGAGCGGGGACGCCAGGGGATGCCCAGCTCAGGTGTGGGGGGGACATCGACCTGGAATCGACGATACCCCTGAAGTCCACGGCGGCCCCATCCCCCCTGAACCCCCCCCTCCACCTTGAGCCCGCCCCCCCCTGACGCTGCCACTGAAGCCCACGGCAGCCCATCCCATACCCCCCCTAAACGTTGCCCCTGAGCCCGTCCCCCCCCCGCCCAACGTCGCCCCATCTCCCCCCTGAGCACACTCACCCTGCGCCCTCCTCCTCCTCCCCACGGGGGCCCACCCCCCCCCGTGCGATGCCCCCGGAGGTCCACGGCGGCCCCGGCCTCGTCCAGGCACTGGCCGCCCGCGCCGGCCCACGTGCCCGCCGCCAGCAGCAGGGCCCCGAAGCGCAGCCCGCGCATAGTCGCGGAGAGGGGGGGGGACGCGCCGCGGGCTCGCGTCGCGACGACGTCGGCGCTGGCTTCCTGGCGTGAGGGCCCTCGGAGCGCCCTCGGGTCAATGAGACGTCAGGCCCCAATTCGGGGGACCGAGGGGTTGGCATGACGGGGCCGTCAAAGGAAGGCCGGGACCCAGCCTGCGAAGTTTGACGCGGGCTCCCGTTGCAAGCATCCAGCAAGAACTGTGATGTCGGAATGCACCACGGGCCCGTCAAAAACCGCCAGCAATCCCGAGTTCCGGTGCAGTCGGGTCTTGCATTTCCAGCGGAGAAAAGCGGGCCTTCCCGCATGGCTCGGAAACCCTCTCGCCTTCTGAAAAACCTTGCGGGCCTTCTTCGAAAGCCGCGGGGGGCCTTTCTCAGAGGGCAGGGGGGTTCTGAGAAACGCCGCCGCCTTCTGAGAACGCCTGCGCCTTTCGCTTCCCCTCTTGCGCGCCGCCGAACGAAGGGTGAACGGTCGAATCGGGGACGTTGGATCGAATCCAAATGAGCCTCGGATCAGGCTGCGTGCACCGGCACAATATCGACGTCGAATCGGATCGGCTGCGCCAGGCAAGTCGATCCAGCGAGTTGCAATTGAGATTGAACTGGGGTGAGGGACAACGATAAGGGGACTGGCTCATGGCGGGAAACAGTGGCATGGAACAGGCGAGACATCGCCGATTGGTCAGCGATGGCGAATCCAGGCGGTCTTGGCGGGTGGGGCACCCATGTCCATATTGGCGACGAATGGACGCCAGGGGGGCAATGCCTCCCTCCCAGCAGGGCGCGACAGTCCGATTGCGCAGACAATTCGATATCGGCTGAATTCGCGGCGGCCTGTGGAATTCAACCGCGAACGCTGGCGATGGAGTCGCCGCCACGTCGTCACGACGCGAACCGATCGTCAACGCGGGAAAACGTAAATGTCCAGGGTGGGGGAAGGCCACAAAGACCTTGAGCCACAGCCAGGAATGGAAAAAGGAGGAACAAGCAGGAAGGGGGGGGGGAGAGAGAGAGGGGGGGGCATTCTCCTGTGACCACAACCACAGATCGACCGCGTAGCTCGCGAACGACTGCGCTTCTTGATGGCTAGACGAAAAGAACCACAAACCCTGATTGGAGAAGAACCGGAATCGACATTTCTGCTTCATCGGGCTCTCTGGGCGTACGACGGCGAAACCATCGAGAGCGAGGAGGACACCGAAGGGTAGCAAGCGAACTACGAGGAAGAAGGCAAACAAAATGACTGGAAGGACGAGCTCGAGGAGGATCAGCACAAGGAGGAACGAGTAACATAGTTTTTTTCACAGCAGGCGTCATTGTCCGCGCACAGGAAAAACAAGAAAGAGAGAGAGAGAGAGAGAAAGAGATGCAGCAGCACGACAGGAGAGGAAGGCAGGGCACTGGCCGCTGAACCCCATCAGCGAGGCTAGCTTCACCCACGGCACGAGGACACCGAGGTACTTCGCGCACGCGGGCATCGAAACAGCCCCGCACGCTAACGGAAGCGACGGGAGGCCGCGACCGAAGGCGGGGGGGCGCGCTCGACGCAGGGGAAGGACAGACTCCATGCCACGCAACGAGATCCTCGCTGAACCATGGACTGCAAACCACCGAGCTCGATGAGCCCAGGACGCAAGCGCGCAAGAAAATATTCAGCGACACAATTAAAGAGGACTGCTCCCGGGCCACGCGACCCCTCGGGCCAGTGAACAAAAACACTGATGCAAGGACCCGCGGAACGGGTAAGGAGACAGCAGACAACGAGAAGGCAACGCCGAGGGCCAAGGATGGCAATGCGGTGCCTGGCGACCAGCGTCTCGCCATTGCCGCAACCTGCGCAGCCGCAGCCACCCGTTGGATCCGAGAAGAGAATTGGGACTGTGGGGCGGCGGGCCAGAAGAGCGGCCACTGCTGCCGCGCCCCCCCCCCCCCCCTCCCAGAAAAATCTGAGCAGGAACCCGATGCTGCCGCGACGTGGCCCGCGTGGCGAATCGCCGCCGCGGCGAGAGGGTACCGGACACTGCCGGAATCAAAACGAATTCGAGGTAGGCACAGCAAACTGGGGGACCCCCGACAGCGCAGCGCCCAATGGCAGTGGGTCCATGGTCGGGGGCGATCACGGGAAACAGCAGTTACCTTCTTGCACCGCCTTGCCAGGATCCTCAGACGCGCATGAAATACCTGTGGTGGAGGCGCAGCGGCGCCGAGTCGGCGGCGGGCATTTTTTTTGTTTTTTCGAAACCGGCGCAGCAGAACACCTGCGGCAATATCGCGATCCAGCCACCGCGTCGGGCCCAGGGGGGCCAGGGTGGGTAGAGGACCGAGACCCATCAGATTCGAAAAAAAGCTCCCCACTGTCCTAGCAGTCTCCGAGCTCCTGGAATCCAAGCGAGGGCTCGAGACTTGAGCCAGGGAATGCTCATAGCGGAACATGCCACCACCACAACGGAAACAGCGACCCTGGCCAGCACTATGAAACGTGACCGAGGTCCACGCGCCCCTGGAAAGAATCCTGAGAACGTCAGCGGGGAGGCGGGTACCCGCGGCCAGTTCAAGAGCCCTGAGCCGAGACCGAAGGCGAACCAGAACAGACACCTGCACCTCCACAAACCACCGAATGATGTGAACCTGCAGGTGGGTCAACGGTGCCATAAGAGCCCGAAACCTTCGTAGATGCGATGCACCCGACGCTCGATCATGCCACCCATCCGTCTCGCAGTAGGGGCAAACTTATCAGCGGCACCCATGTTCGCGCATCGAATTACCGCGTTCCACCACCAAGGCGCGCGCAGCCTCAAGACACAGACTTCATCGTCACGCATGCCGTTAATGAGCCGCTCAAAATCATGCAAACCCTGGTCAATCCCTGACAGTTGACAAAAGCATGAGATTTGGTTGCCTTGGTCATCAATTGTAGATCGACAAGGCCGAGCGAGATTCAGATACCACGAAGCTGCGAAAATATACAATGGTTCAGCGCGTGCCGGGGGGCAGCAGCAAGGACCTGCACCGCCCCCCGATGCAGTCTAGCAACCTCGGCAGAGTCGCGGCCGATGCTGGAGCGCCGAATAGCAGCTCGAGTGGACTAGCCGGATCGTCTTCGGAAGCCCCGGGGAAAGATGCCGAAGCGGCCGAGCTCTCTGCCAACGCTTCATCATTACCTCGCGCTACGCAACAGCGCGCGCCGTGCGCCCAGCCCAAGAAACCGAGATGCAATGCGCGCGTCAAAAACAATCTGGCGCAGAAGCGGCCCCCTTTCTTTCCCGCGTGCTCGGCTAGTTGGTCGCGCGAAAGCCCCGCGCATACAAGCGCGTGGCATTTGCCATTGTTCACTGAGGGGCCGATCGCAGATGCCAGGGAGGCCCAGCACGAGCAAGGTAGGCATCGGGTCAACTAAGAGATGCTGCAGCCCAGAACAGCACTCGCAAGCACAAGCAAGCTCAAGATCAACCCGAGGGGCGCGCTGATGCTTAACCCATCTGGTAACAGGGTCTGACGCCGGAGCGAAGAAGGTCATCGATGACAGACCATCCTGTCTCACACCACGCGCAACTGGAAGTCGAATCTCAGCCGCCCCCGCAAATAGGTCACACCCACGCTGCTCATATGAGAAGAATGATATAAGCCAAATAGCATCCAAGGAAGGTACCCATGGCCCTTAAAACCGGGAAGATCCACGCAGAAGAAATCAGCGAGACAACCGCCCGATAACCCGCGAATAACATGCCGGCACCACCGCGGCCACGCACGTGCTGCAAGAGCCCCCATTGTTCCATCTCTACCACGTAATGAAACTACGAATTGCGCGTGCGCACCAGCGACCGCCAGCGCGTCTTTTTGGCCTCCCCCCATCGACAATACCTATGTCGCGTAATAATGCCAGACATGCCCCCTCGTCTCCATGCGCAAAGAAACCTAAGCCTCTCTGCCTCATACTGGTCTATGGCACGGCCATGTTCACTGTTGGGGCATCTGTGCAAAATGAATCATTCACTCAGGCAGACTCCTGGAGTCGCGCATCCAAAGATTTCCTGCAAGAGCCAAATTCAACCGCGAGGACCATGAATCCTCAGGAAAATGCATTTCTCGCTCCAGATTTTTTCGGCGGAGCGGAATCCAAACTCCCCTCTGCTTTCAGGGGGGCGTCACGTTGGAGATCAAATCCGTCAAGTTCCACCTGCCCAGAATCAATTGCGGCCTCGCCGCGCCCGTCTGAAGCAGATGGTGAAGGCGGTGGTGGTAAAATGGGATGATCAAACAACTTGCCTTCGTCTGCAGCTGCGCGCGCAACAGGATTGCCCACTGCCGCGGGAATTCCGCTCGAGGAGCAGTCCGCCGCGCCCCCAGGCGGCGCCGTCACCGAAAATATGTATAAGATGGCTCTCTCGCGCGCGGCTTTCACGGGGGGGCTGGGGCGCTCGAAAATCGGCAGTCTGATCGGAAGTCTCACTATGTACTTGGTCAGACTTCTCGACAACAGGTCGGGTGTTATTAAGTCTCCACCCAGTCGCCATGTTGGGGCCCTCGAATGGTCATGGGGGCGCGACGAAACATCCCAACCCTGCCATTGTCCCCGCTGCGTGAACATGCCCTGATTAAATCGCCAGAGTCATGGCGGCAACTGCCGCGGCCCTCGGGAACGTGACTCGCGGGGAAGCGCGCGGCGAATGAGGGGGCCGAACGGCAGAGGGGGTGCCCGACATGGTGAACCAAAACAGGCTTGCCAACGGGATTTCGCCACCGCATCTTGCCTTGCGTTGTGGCAGCGGCAACAATCGCTGGCGAGATGCACCCAAAATGGAGGCGGAAGGCCGACTGTGGCCAGCAGTGCGAACGCGCCCATTTGGAATATGCCGTTCAATCTTCGGCAACAGCTCTAAATATGCTTTCCGCTGCGTGGGATGGCGGCGTCGCGCGCAGTCCTAAACTCCCGGCAAGCAAGGGCAAGCTGTCGGGAACCATCTGCGAAACAATAATTCAAATCCTCTCCTGGACCCTTCGGGCCTGCGAAAAACTGCACGCGCGCGCGGCCGACTTGCCGCGGTCGCCGTGCGCAAAGATGAAATTCAGGAAACCATCGCGAAACGTCGCGCGCGCAGTTTCCCCGCGGAGCCCCCGCGAGAGCCCGTCAGCCGCAAACCAATGGTCCACGGTGGCGGGGCGTCCGAAGCGCGGAGGGTCAGAGCGCGGCCTGGTTACCTTTAGCAATTTATTATGCTTCAATGCTGCGAGCGCAGAGCCCCGGCCACATTGCACGCGTTACAACGTGGGCCTCTCGGGGGATGAGTGACAAGATGTTTGGCGGAGGTTGTGTCCTATTTAAGACGCTCTAGACTCATCGCCCCAACGCCTGCGTCCTCAGGCTGAGCCGGCGGTCCGGAGACGTCGACTAGATCGCCGCCGCCAGGGTCGACGTGTCGAGACTGCTTTGACAAGGCAGCTCGCGTTCCACGACCAGGAAAACTCCGACTGAATCGGTGGCCACGGCGCAGGAATATCAGCTCTCAGAGTCCAACCGTGCTTGCGGGCGACTTGAAGCGAATGATAAATGTGCGTGGCGACGTCCACGGATCCCGCTCCAGGTTGCAGCGGTCCGTCCAGTTGCAATGGCCGCGCGCTCTCGCGGCTGCAAGTGATTCTCGCGCGTGCATGTCTATGGTTGCGCGGGCCTGAACGTAGCAAGCAGGGGGGCCACCCGCAGGCTCTACATCATCCAGAAATGCTCTGGCGCCTGGCACCGCGCAACCCCGCCTCTCGAGAGCAGAGGTTCCCTCGGCGACTGCGCGACTCCATTGGCCAACTCCTCCCTTCCTGACAACGTCAAATCAGTATTCAACGTCCAAGTTGGCTTTACGCCCATCGGGCAAGAGTAAATATGGGGGTTGACCCGCAGGCCAGCAGGAACTAGAGACGCGGTTAATACAACGTTCACCCAGCGAAAATATTCGCGGGGTCT